TATAAATAGTTTTATCATGTAAAGAATAATGATTTTAAGTTTATACAAGTGAATAATTTATTAAATACATAATAATTTTTATTTTTAAAAATTAAAAAGAAACAAAATAAAGTTATTTAAGAAATTTTTATAACTTAATTAATCATTCAAGTCTATAAAAATTTTTTATTATTTTTGATTTCATTAAAATTTTAACTATAAAATATTTTAAATATAAAAAGCTTAGATAAAATAAATTGTTATTAAATAGCTTTGAAATGAAAGAATTAAATATAATATTATTTTATAAAGTTTTAATTAGAATGAGTTTATTTATTGTTCACTAATAATAACTTGTTTATTACAGTTTTCTAAATAACCATTATTTTTCATAGATAAAATTTATTAAAAGAAACTATCAAATATAATTTAATAATTTACGTCATCAATAAAAATATCATCATGTATTTATTATTCTTATCTTTTTTAAACTTAAAATAACATGTAATAAATCATTTTAAAAAATAAACATAAAAAATATTTAAAGAAAAAAATATTTTTACCCTTATAAAATGATAAGAAGTGTATTATTTAGTTTAGTACTTATTTTATCTAGTACTCAAAATCTTTTAGATCCTTTTCAATGTGATAGTGATAGTTCTATGGCTACCTTAAGAAATGATAAGGTTGAAGGTACAGAAAGAACTCAGAAAAGACGTTTTATTTTCCCTTTTTTTTCTTATATCAGAAGATTTTTTAATCGTAGAAAGAAGTACAATGTTGATAATAAAATTTGTTCTGATGATAAACAGGTATTAGTGTATAAATTGAAAAATAAAAACACTAACAGTGAAAGAGATTATTTAAATGGATGTTTTATTGATTATGATAGTTTTGAAGATAGTAGTTTAACTGATGAAGAAGAAAATATAGAAACCTCTATTTCTTCAGATGATTCTGATTGTGAATCAACTAATAAACAGAAAATTAAAAATTAAGAATAAATTTTTAATTTTTAATATAATTAATAAAGAATTAAATATTTTATCTTTAGAGTTTATATTAAACACTAATTTATTAAACATAATTAGAATTGTTTATTTTTATATTAAATATACTTTATATATTATCAAATAACTTAATAATTGATTTTTATATGTTTAATAAAAAATTAAGTAAATTAATTGTTTATTCACTCAAATACAATTGTTTTTAATTCGATTACTTTTAAAAATCTTAAAAAATAACATCATTATTAAAGCAATTTCAATTTAAATATATTAAAATTAATTTTACCCTAAATTAAAGAACTTTTAAGATTGGTATTTATTTAAAGATTGTATTATCTACAAATAAAGAGATGGTATAATCTATTTTTTATATTAGTTTTACTGATATCAAATTGTATGAAGATGATAAAAGTTAAAAAAATTCATTATGAATAGAATAACTTCTTTACTTAGAAATTGTTGTTATTTTAGAAAGAAGTAAGTAAAAAACCTTCTTGAAATCACTTTTATATCTAGTAATAACAAAGATAAGATCACTAATATTGAAAGTGTTTTAATAATTGATTGTGATGAAATAAACAATTAACAAGTAATTAAGATCTCAAAAAAAATTAATAAAAAATTTATTGTTTAAGTTTAAAATTAATTTTTATCAATAAAGCTTGATTTATAAAAC